TCTATGGGAGGGAATCTGCGGCAGAAGGCGGTCTCGGAGATAACCGGGTCCTATGCCATGAAGCGCTTTAAAGGTGGTAACTAACACCTTAAAGCGCACCCGGAAGGCCACTGGCAACCAGTGCAGCTCGCGCAGCAGCGGTGTCACATGGGAGCGACGAGTCCCTCCCAACACCGCCCGCGCGGCCGCATTCTGGACCCAATTCCAGCAGCCTTTTCTTATATGCTTTAGCCTCCAGTCCCCTAATCATCTTTGTTGCTCTTCTCTGTACTCTTTCTAGAGTCTCAGCATCTTTTTTACATCACGGTGACCAAAACTGGATGCAGTATTCCAAGTGTGGCCTTACCAAGGCATTGTAAAGTGGTATTAACACTTCACATGATCTTGATTCTATCCCTCTGTTAATGCAGCCCAGCACTGTGTTGGCCTTTTTGGCAGCTGCAGCACACTGCTGGCTCATATCTAAGTGATTGTCCACTAGGACTCCGAGATCCCTCTCACAGTTACTACTATTGAGCAAGGTACCCCTTACACTATACCTGTACATTTGGTTTTTCTTGCCTAAATGTAGAACCTTACTTTTTTCACCATTGAATTTCATTTTGTTAGATAGTGCCCGGTATTCAAGTCTGTCCAGATCCTCCTGTATCTTAAGCCTGTCTTCTGGAGTGTTGGCTATTCCTTGGTGTCATCCGCAAATTTGATGAGTTCCCCAACTATCCCCTCATCCAAATCATTGATGAAGATGTTGAAGAGCACTGGGCCCAGAACAGCGCCCTGGGGCACCCCATTACACACTTCCCTCCATGTAGATGCGGTTCCATTGAGGACCACACGCTGAGTATGGCCGGTCAGCCAGCTGACCGGCCGTAATATGTAATACATAAAGAACATTTTTCAGCAATAAAACAGGAAAAGCTGCAGCTTTCTTACCTTCTGTCTGGAGTCTAAAGGTGTCAGTCATCAGATTCTCTTTCAAAATGAGCCCAAGAGCTGCCTGGCACAAAGTCACTTTTGAAATTGATCGTTTGGGTGGAAAGAGCTCACTGTGGTGTTGAGGGATAAAATTAGTGTGAACCTTCCCGGCCTCAAAATCTGGATGGGCTGAGAGATTCAATAAGAAATCCACATTGGTGCTCAGTCCAACAATCTGTCACGGGAGGAAGAGATGCACCAGAAAAAGGCAAATCAGTCAACAGATGCTCTTTGATCCTAACTAATCTTCTATGTAAATAAAAATGTAAATGTTCGTTTGTTCAAAATCTTAAATCTCCGAAAGTTCTTCACCGATTGCTTTGAAATTTTGACACAACGTTGCATTCGAATACGCGCGTGTTTTTATATACTTATATTATATAGATGTCACACCTGTGACAGGTAAAAACATGCTTTTGTGACAGGTAAAAACATGCTTTTTTTGAAAAACAGCGCCATCTGTTGGACGTAAAAGCAACACACGCTTTTACCAGACTGAGCCACAGCAACGCGTGACTGGGTACAGCTAGTAAATTAATAAATCTGCAGCAAGGTATGGAAGACCAAAAGATTAATTCATCAGTTCAGCTTGCATACTGCTATGTTGGTAAAGCCTCGTGGTCATTTATGTGCACAACCATTCAATTAAAATATCTACCATGAAAAAAAATAAAGCAATAGTTCCAGAAAATATATTCTAATGCTAATGAAGAGGTACAAGTATACCACCAAAGTACAAAAGCAAAACAAAGGAATAAACTTGAAAATGTAAATATGCTAAGACGGTGACAGTGACCTATTCTCCAATGGACAGAAAACATTTGGTCTTAAGCAACTTTTGGAACATTAAAATGAATGGGGGGAAATCTCAATGCCAAGGTCTGTTAGTATATTCCATAGTCTTCCATATTTTGTCGAAATCTCTCAAGGATGGATATTCTGAAGGTGTGCTCAACACTGAGTAGCAGGTAGCAGAGAAGAACAGTAGCCAATGTCTAAATTGCAAGGATGGGGGAGGGGAGGAAGGAGACTAATCAAAATCCTACAGGGCATGACGAGTCCCTGAGCAATCAACTAACAATGTCTCAGGATGGTTTCCATCAACCCAATTGCTGGCTTTCACCTGTTGTAGTGGTGAGATTTTGTGTAACTACATCTGAAGAGTCACTTTGGTGTAGTGGTTCAGGCACCAGGCTAGAAACCAGGAAACCATGAATTCTAGTCCTGTCTCAGGCACAAAACCAGCTGGGTGATCTTGGGCCAGTCACTCTTTCTCAGCCCTAGGAAGGAGGCAATGGCAAATCATTTTTGAAATCTTGCCAAGAAAACTGCAGGGATTAGTCCAGTCAAAACTGTCTTAAAGGCATATCTATCTATCTATCTATCTATCTATCTATCTATCTATCTATCTATCTATCTATCTATCTATCTATCTATCTATCTATCTATCATCTATCTATCTATCTATCTATCTATCTATCTATCTAT